GCTGTCATTGAATGCTTCCTTTTCTCGGCAGTTTGTAGGAGAACAAGCATAACCGCGAGATCCTTCATTGACCAGAAAACCAACAAGGGGCTGCTAAAATTTGGTATCGAACATCGTACCGGAGCGGTTTTCTGAGAGGGTTTGGTGAACTCTCNAAGATAAAACGTTTGCATAAAAAGTGCGGGTATTAATAGTGATTCCTGTACGGATAGCACGAGCCGGGCAGGTTTCGATACAAAGACAGTATTGATTCCATAACTTAACGCCATTTATTGCGATGCTTCTTGACAGTTACCTAAGAAATACTTCTTTTCGTTCTTCGCATAAACTAGCACCCAGCTTAGATCTTTTTAGTTAGTTTAATTATGTAGTGAATTCCCCATTTTCAGTTATTTATCTCATTGCTTCCTTTTCCTTTTTGAATAGTGAATATTTCTTTTAAAAATGGTTGCCTTCAAGAGACTACTGAAATGGACGTTTGCACTCTGTCTGTTGACAGTGATTCAGGAGAAAACAGCGAACATTTTGACAGGTAAAAGTCCCCATTTCATGCTTGGACGTATCATTTGGTTCTTGACCTTAAAGAGAGTCCCATAGCCCAGGTTAAGGGCTGCTACCTTAAGGACGTTCATTGGCGCATCTAGGGGAGGGTCGGAGGGGACCAAAGCTTTGCGTTACTTTTAGGCCAAAACAGAGGCCCGTAAGACCGAGTGCGAGGGTGCTGTCATTGAATGCTTCGTTTCCTCGGCAGTTTGTAGGAGAACAAGCATAACCGCGAGATCCTTCATTGACCAGAAAACCAACAAGGGGCTGCTAAAATTTGGTATCGAACATCGTACCGGAGCGGTTTTCTGAGAGGGTTTGGTGAACTCTCAGCCCTTTTAGTCCTGAATGTTTACTTCCGTCTCAGTGAATTCCAGTCCTCGCGCCTACTTAAGCGCTTCCGCTACGGCCCGAATTCCTAGCCTTTCAAAATGCACCAAAGTATGGCACAGAACCTGGCCGATATGTGACGCTCCAATTTTCGAGATCGGCGCGGCGCAGCTTCGCTCCGTTACATTAATTGCGCCGAAATCAACGTTCCTATGTTTAAACAGAAGCCTTATCGGCTTAGGTTTTCGTGCGGGCGCAAAAGGTATCCGGTATAGTGTAAACATAGCCTTAAAAGACTGCGTTTTACATACATTTAAATAAGAATAGACCTTTTTACCGATACGGCGGCATTGTTGAGTTAATTAGATTGAAGGAGTATTATAGGATGCCCATGGGGCATGAGCACATTTCGTTTGTATTTTCGAGGGCTTTTCGGGACATTTTTTCTTAAAGTTTTCTTAGAATAAGATTGTAATGGGAAAAAAATCCTTGTGCCGTGTTTGGATGTAATAATGATCGCTTTTTTTCCGAGAGATATACGGTGAAAGACCATATTTCTAATACTAGACTAGAAAAAGGCGATCATTATTACATCCATTACATCCCCTTAAAATTAGGTCCACTTGTATTAATTACACGCTATAATTGAATAACCAACTTTGTTTGAATAAATTGCAGAAGCTAAAAAGTTCCTCCTTTTCACCGATGCTGATGCCAAGGCCACATATACCATTTCTTTGGATGCAAGTAGTCTCGTTGCCAAACGCTTGTTCCGTCATCTTGGAAATCAACGCCCAATTGCTGTGGACTACGACCCTGTAGAGGACCGCGTATATTGGACTGATGTTGCAAAAGGTCGTATCCTTAGCGCTTTTTCCAATGCGACTTGGATGAAATTTTTGGTTGACTGCAATGTTAAAGTACCCGACGGCTTAGCTATTGACTATGTGGGTCGGAATATCTACTGGACAGACACAGGAACTAATCGTATTGAAGTAGCTCGTCTTGATGGAACGAAAAGAAAAGTGCTCATTAAGAATGGACTTGACGAACCGAGAGCCATAGTACTCGATGAAAGAAATGGGTGAGTAAAGGGTATATAATATACAATTTACAATTTATACAATTTGGCCGAATGATACTCTGAGTGGCCTAGGGTCTCTCAGTAGTTGAGTGGCTAGAGCGGGGGGCCCAGGCCGCGTGATACCCGAGGCGGCCTAGGTTTGATAAAATTCTGATGGAGACTTATTACCGAGCTTTAACTCCATATTCCGTCTTTAAAGGTGATGTTACAGGTGACGATTCGCAACGACGATTTTTAGCGCAACACAGCGTTAGAATGTTGGAACAATGTTGTAACCATTAAAAGCAATGTCGCAGCAATGTTGCCACGCTGCATTGCGCTAAAAATCGTCGTTGCGAATCGTCTCCTGTTGCGGGGGACACCTCGGGCTCATTGTTATGCATTTATTTAAAGTGTTCACGTGCACGTGCGGCAGGCAGACTTTATTCAAAAGTAACAAACGGGTTCTGAATCAAACCTTGTTTCAGTGACTCTTTGTAGGTTTTTTTTTACCTCAAAATCCTTGAAAACATTACAGCTAATGAACAAAATTTAAAACGAGTAGAATGTAATTAACCATAATTACCATAATTCCATATCTTGCTTGGAACTCGTGCTTTAGTCGGGACACCTTCGGGAGTCTCAAAATTGGCGGACTTTTCCGACAATTTTGTGTCCAAGAATTCAGCGCAGATACAAAACTTCGCGAACTGGCACTGCAGAGGGGTAAACTTGGTAGACTGTAGTGTGTTATGTATTGAGCGGAATCAGTCTAAATGAGCGCTTTCACAAAAAGATATAAGGCGTTAATTTCAGGGATGACAGATTTTGCTCATTCAAACGATTAAACCTTGCTGGCAAACCTTAAATTGCAAAATCTGCTCAAAACAAAACACAATGGAGGTTTTGACCAATCATTTATTAATAAAATCAAAGAGTGCTGTTTTCTATTCTTTCCCGGCAAACTTGGACACAAAATCACGATTTCCCAATTTGGTACAACTGGTACAACTGTGGCTTTAAGAATCGCTGTAAAGGGCGATCTACCAAATAAAAAATAACACTCCTAAGCTTCCATCATTTCACAATGTCTCTGTAAACTTGTATCTAAATCGCCTCTAAAACAGCCGAGATATAAGCGTTTTAAAAGATGCAGCACAAGCAAAATTTAGCCTTATGAATTAGAAATTGATTGGTGTCCTCCACGGCCTTAATTAAACGAAAATGTCGGATCAAGCAATAATTGTGACACGTGTTGCTTTCTTTTGGCAAGGTTCCTCGGATTTCCTTAAGTATCTGTCGATAAATAACACCTATCTTAAAAACCTAGAGTTACTGATTTTCGTTAAACAGAATGATGTATTGGACAGACTGGGGATCAAATCCAAAAATAGAGAACGCTGCTATGGATGGCTCATCAAGACGAACCATTGTAACAGGAAGTCTTCGCTGGCCAAATGGATTGACTATTGATCAAACAACAAACCTCCTGTATTGGGCGGATGCTAAACTGGACAAAATCGAGGTTTCTAACCTGAACGGTGGTAATAGAAGAGTTATTATGTCATCTTCAGCCAACATTTTCCCATTTGGCCTGACTGTTTACAAGGGCGTGTTATACTGGACTGACTGGATACACAGGAGCATTTCGCGGTACGATTTAAGCAGTGGAAACACGAATGTAATCATCGCAGGACTTAGAAAGCCAATGGACATTCACTTGTATGATTCTTCTGTTAAAATTTCAGGTATCTTGCACCTGTTTCAGTGTCTAGTACAAAAAAAGTAATCAATGCATACTTTTTCGTCAACCCTTGGAGAGAGACTCTTTTCTTACATATTCTAATAGCAGGCAAAATGATCGTGTATCAGCACGGGTATCATCCTTTAAAAACACAAATTCTTCAGATTTTGTTTGTTTGCCAGAAAAAAGGTGTCATTATTTTGACACCCAGCCCCATACAACTTATTACTAGTGTTTATAAGCCATTCGCACCCATGAAGAAGGCATGGTTAAGTCACCACCAAATGATCCGATCATCTGAGCTAGGAACAGCCAATGTGATGTTGCCTGTTTTTGTTTTTTATTATTTTCCGATGAGCCTAGTTCATAATCGCCAATCCCGACGAACGAGCTAGCGACCTCGATCTGGTGGTGTAAAAGTAACTTTCCACCTACCCCTACCCCTACCTAGTGTTAACCCTAACTTCTCTGTTAGGGCAAAATGTTGGATTGGGGGAGGGGTATGTAGGTAGTTTATCAGTAACGAAGGTGGCATCGTCCTGAGCTGGGAGTTTGGAACTACATTGCGATGTGGAGAGATCGGCACTTCGCAAATCACCTGCTCAAGACGTAACTGTGTGTCCTCTTACTCGGCTGACACCTCAATCCAACATTTTTAGTATTTTTAACGTGTCTTAATATAGTGCTTATTTTTACTTCACCAGCTTCTCACCCGTGTGCTGTTAACAATGGTTTATGTAGCGATTTGTGTCTTCTAAAGCCTAGTGGAAGTTACCGATGCGCATGCCCAACAGGCATTGCACTCAAGTCTGATGGAAAAACCTGTGATTATGGTGAGATTCAGTGAAGTAAAGGTGGGGGCGGACGGAAGGGCAGTAATAAGCATATGTCGTATACTTGGATCATAGGTATACGAAAAAAGTACGAGCCGGGCGCTATTGGAGTATTGCTCCTCCCCTTGAATCTAAGAAAATACCTGGATGTCAGGTTTCTTTTAAGGAAAGGAAATCTTCTTTGTAATACTACTTCTATATCTTGAAACAAGAGGAGGGTGGGTGGGGTGGATCCGTGAAAAATTTATTTTCCTCCTTTTCTGAATATGATCTTTTGGGTTCCCTCTGAAAAAATCTCCATTAATTCCCTTCTAAACCTTGTCCTCCAGTCTTTTATATATGGCAAGCGTGGTTTTGTGGGAGCTTTCCCATGACTTCTTCTATCCTCGGCTATTTTCAAAATTTAGAACACTAAATGCGACAAAGCCATGCCAGTGATTTGAAAAATAATGAATTCAATTTCATTTCTTTGTTTCTCTTAGATACTTTCAAGAGCTTGAGCTCTGACAAGTTCCTGCTTTTCGCTGAAGGGAGCAGTGCACGAATTTACAAAGTTCCTCTGGCTGTTCCAGAGACTCCTTGCTCTCCTCTGGGGATCAAAACCAACATATCCAGACCAGTTGCAGTTGATTTGGATCCCATTAAAGGAAAGGTTTACTGGACTGACGTTACGTTAAAGCAGATCGTTAGATCGTATCCCAACGGGTCCGATCTTGAAGTAATAGCGGAGCGTAATGTGGAAAATCCTGATGGAATAGCAGTTGACTGGATTGGGAGGAATGTATACTGGACTGATTATCGAACCAGTAAGATTGAAGTGTCACGATTGGATGGATCATACAGATTTAGCCTCATTACATCTGGTTTGGACAATCCTAGAGCTGTGATACTTGACATAAATGCTAGGTAACAAGATAAAAAATAGAGAATACGTCTAAAGGAAAACTTAAAGGTATATTTTCGTCAATAAAAACATGTTTACTAGATGTTCCAGTTTTGTTAGAAAGCACTTGAAGCTTGTAAGGAAGTCTGGTGTTTTTAGGACCCATCGGTTTGAGCCAACAGCAAAGAAATCGACTATAACCAGTAAAATAATGTTTGAATTTTTTATCTTTTGCTGTCCTATAGAAAGATGTACTGGAGCGACTGGGGAACATATCCCAAAATCGAGCGAGCTAACATGGACGGCTCATCTAGAACGACTCTTGTTAGTTCAGGTTTGATATGGGTGAACTCACTGGCTTTGGATTTCAAAAAGAGGCTTCTGTACTGGTGTGACGCAAGACTTGATAAGATTGAAAGAGTAGATCTTCAAGGAAATAACCGCAAGCTGATAATAAATTTGTCAAGCCATAGCGCCCGTTATCATCCTTTTGGACTCGCCTTATTTGAGGATACACTGTTCTGGTCAGACTGGCTGACTGAAAATGTTCACAAGTACAACATGACGTCATCCGTTAGCAGTGTACTGGTCTACGGGATGTATTATCCTATGGAAATTCACATACATGATCACAAGACACTCCCCTCGGGTAAGTGGGATGTATTACCCTATGGAAATTCACATACATGATTACAAGACACTCCCCTGGGGTAAGTGGGATGTATTATCCTATGGAAATTCACACACATGATCACAAGACACTCCCCTCGGGTAAGTGGGATGTATTACCCTATGGAAATTCACATACATGTTTACAAGACACCCCCCTGGGGTAAGTGGAATGTATTATCCTATGGAAATTCACATATATGATCACAAGACACTCCCCTGGGGTAAGTGGAATGTATTATCCTATGGAAATTCACATATATGATCACAAGACACTCCCCTCGGGCTCCTTCCATTGTAGGGAAAGTAAACGTGAACAATGAACCGTAGGCCTCCTTTTCTGTGTAACAGCATATTAGCAAGGCCTTCGGAACCGTTACAACTTAGGAAAATAGTGATAACAGGCGGGTGAGTCGACACAAACATCAAATATTGTGAATAGTAGAAGTAGAAGGAGATGAATTAGTGTTCAAATTTAATTCCCATTAGTTTATGAGGTCACCTTATATTACACTTCAGGGACTACCAGCTGTTCTCGTTTCAACGGAGGATGCAGTCACATTTGTCTTCCAAATCCTAGTGGCCATCGGTGTTTCTGCCCCGAAGGAGTGCAGCTAAAGCCTGGTGACTCGTTCATATGCCAAGGAGGTGGGTGGATGTCTCCAATAGTAATCTTGTTTTTCTTTCTTCTCTTTTTTTGGGGCAAATATATGATTTCACCCTTCAGTGACTTCCTTAGTCTTAAAAAGTCCATAATCGAAAACCCCAGTAAACGATATTGAAGACTAAAATGTGATGTCATTTTGAGTATCAGCTTCCCTAACCACATGCTCTTGTTTTCCTTTATATCGTAGCAAGCCGCTGTCCCCAGCTCTCCGCACCTAGCCATGGCCGTTTAGGGTCTTGTTCTAATGTTCCGGGGCAAAGTTGTCAGATATCATGTGACAGGGGGTACATACTGAGTGGGTCAAGTATACGAACGTGCAGAAATGATGGAACATGGACTGGACTACAAACACAATGCACCAGTAAGTTGCCTGAGTGATTGAAAGAGAGAACTAACGATTTTATAGTCCAGTTGCAGTAGAAAAGTGTCTAGTAGTTAAGTTAATGAAACCTTGGTTTGCAACGCACTGCCTTGATAACTTTTACATATTCAATTTTGTCCAGGAACCCTCCTTGTGACATTGTAAGTCTTAAACTTTCCAAGAAGAGAGTATTTTTTCTAGTCCTTTCTTTTTTCCGATGAAAGGCTTGAAAAAAAGGCAATCATTTTTGCTAGTATATCTGTGCGTATTCCTGTATCTCTGGCTACTCAAGTTTAAAAATACCATTATTGGCTTGATAACTATACGCTAGAAAACTTCCATGGAAATTATGTAAAGGACGTCAGTTTGGGACGTAGTCACAGAAGTACACGGTCTCTACTAACTAAATAGGCACTATTTTTCTGCAGTTGTCACGTGTCCAGCGTTACCTTCACCAGCAAAAGGGGCTCGTCGGGGCTGCTCAAGGATAGGAGGAGAACCTTACAACACGATCTGTCAGTTTTCCTGCCATCCAGGATTTAACGGATTTGGTTCTGCACGAAGAACGTGTCTCCAAACTGGAAACTTAGCCGTGACAGTCTTTCAATAGTTCCATCTTTCATGAAGTATAAACAAATCCACTTTTTTAAAAATAGGAAGATTTAAATATACTGGCATATACTGAACTATACCCGAATGAAATGTTTTTGCCTTGATCTACTAGCTGTTACCTGTCCAGCAGTCGTCACACCAATAAAAGCTGTTCTGCTGACTCCTTCCTGTAAAAGGACGTATGGGTCAAGATGCACATATTCCTGTCAAACCGGATACACCAGTTCAAATGGAAATGTCACGCGAACCTGTTTAGCATCTGGGCAATGGAGTGGAAATGAAATCATCTGTAAAGGTAATCAAACGCCCAAATTACCCTAGTTGCCGGAATAAAGATAATTTCAAAATGTAAAAAAACCGCTCTATTGTTGAACTATTTTTGTAACATGTACTAAACAACATAGTACTTTAAGGGTTTAATTCTGTACTGCATCAGGTTACGTATCTCATCATTCCTTTCTATTATGTTGTAGTTATAAACTGTACCTCGCTCTCGGTAAATCCAAAAGGTCCTTTGCGCATGAGCAGCTGTGGTAACCATTACGGATCAAGATGTATCTTTTCCTGTGATATTGGTCATCAGTTAAATGGTTCATCAACACTGACATGCGTTACCTCTGGTAACCGGCCTCCGGGATTCTGGGACAACCCCATGCCTGTATGTCAAAGTAAGTTTATAGAACGACAATAACGTGGCCTTGTAACGGATGAAAATTACACGAGCTTGATGATTTTTTTTTAACCGCATATTTTTCATTTTCAGTTATCAACTGTCCTCAATTGACCACCCCACCTAAAGCTGTACTGCTGACCGTTCCCTGTACCAGTGCGTACGGGTCAAACTGCTCATATTCCTGTCAAACTGGATATACCAGTTTAACTGGGAATGTTACAAGAACATGTCTGTCGTCAGGCAATTGGAGTGGTAGCGATATCAGATGTACAGGTAACTATTCTCACATGAAATGCGTTTTCAATTTCATGACCAGTGTAACTTTCAATGTACCCTTTCAAGCACACGTTTCTAGGGTTCGTCTAGCGTTCCCCCTTATAACAAAGCTATTAGTTAACCTCTAAGGGAGGCTGCTTAGAATGATTAACTTAGTCTTTGTGTTGAGTAGCCCTTCCCAGATAACAGATTATCCCGCAACTCTCTTTGCGGGATAATTTCAAATTTTTACCTGTAATCAGAAGCTGATTTTCTGTTTCAGATGTTGATCCGCCATCTTTTGGCTCAACATGTCCTTCAAGCTCGCTGATTACGTATGCAGAACGAGAGAAATTTTCAGCCTTGGTGACCTGGACCGAGCCAGTTGCCACTGACAGCACGGGAGTTTCACCGACAGTGACGTCAAATTACCAGTCGCCAACAAGGTTCAGTCAAGGAACTCACGTGATCACATACACAGCTGTGGACCGATCAGGAAATAAGGCTACTTGTAGCTTTACAGTTCAAGTGTTAGGTAACAATTTTAATCACAATCGTCACGTTTCGACTGACCTCACTTGCAAAGGGTTCTGTATTTTTTAGGCATCAGCTGCCAGAAAGAAGGGAACGAAACGCCGCAAATCATGAACGTAAAAATTCAGAGTCACACAAAGCGGTGTTTGAGTGAAGTTACGACACAAGAAATGAGAGAAAATACTGCTTTCTTTCTACTGCGAAATAATCATAGATAAAAGCAATTATTAAAATAACTGGCTCCAGGACCGGAGTTTCCAATCACAGTAAACCCTTATCATATGCAGTTTTTTGTTAACTGTACGGGGTTCTTCTGATAATACATGGATAATGTTCTGCTGGTAATTGTGTAATGCATCAGGTTATGTTACTTATCATTCCTTTCCCTTATGTTCTAGTTATAAATTGTTCATCACTCACCGTAAATCCAAAAGGTCCTTTGCGCATGAGCAGCTGTGGTAACCATTACGGATCAAGATGCAACTTCTCCTGTGATATTGGTCATCAGTTAAATGGTTCATCAACACTGACATGCGTTACCCCTGGTAACAGGCCTCCGGGATTCTGGGACAGCCCTATGCCTGTATGTCAAAGTAAGTTTATAAAACGGCAATAACGTGGCCTTGTAACGGATGAAAAGTACACGACCTTGATGATTTTTTTTTAACCGCATATTTTTCATTTTCAGTTATCAACTGTCCTCAATTGACCACCCCACCTAAAGCCGTACCGCTGACCGTTTCCTGCACCAGTACATACGGGTCAAACTGCTCATATTCCTGCCAAACTGGATATACCAGTTTAACTGGAAATGTTACAAGAACATGTCTGTCGTCGGGCAATTGGAGTGGTAGCGATATCAGATGTACAGGTAAATAATCTCACATGAAATGGGTTTTCAATTTCATGACCAGTGTAACTTGCAATGTACCCTCCCACGCGCATGTTTCTAGGGTTTCGTCTCGCGTTCCTCCTTATAACAAAGCCCTTCGTTAACCTCTGCGGAAGGCTACTTAGAATGATTAACTTAGTTGTCTGTGTTGAATAGCCCTTCCCAGATAAAAAAAACTCTCTTTGTGGGATAATTTCAAATTTTTACCTGTAATCAAAAGCTGATTATCTGTTGCAGATGTTGATCCGCCATCTTTTGGCTCAACATGTCCCTCAAGCCCAATGATAGCCTTTGCGGAACGAGAGAAATTTTCAGCCTTAGTGAACTGGACCGACCCAGTTGCCGCCGACAGCTCAGGAGTTTC